TACTGCCTCCAACAGTAAGATATACATAAATCCAGGCCCTCTGGACATGGAAAAAAAAATTCTACAGGGCATATTTTGCATATCAGCATAATTTGATGGTCTGTGATTTCTCAAGAAAACAGAAATGTGAGAAACATGTTGACAGTTCAGTCTAATTCCAGAATTCTTTTGACTGTGCCGTAGTTGCTACTTGTGAGTACTGCACATAAAAATAACTTTCCTCGACCTAAAGAAAAAAGGAAATTTTTTTTTTTGCTATGAGGTGAAACCCCTCTGCATCACCAAGCAATATGGACCTAAATTCTACTTTATATGCTGCTCTCCATGACAGGATATTTGTGAGCGTGTGTTCAAGAGACAGATACGGGTTTAATAAAGCCTACATGACTTGAGGATCATTGGAAAAGATCTCTCCTATGATAACAACAGCATACAATGTGTTAAGGAACAAATAATGTTGCAGCCCTCTGTGTGATAGCTACAATAAGACAAGGTCATCCTATGGACTATAGCAGCTACTCTGAGCACAACAGCAGCATCTTTGTAACGCACGTGATCCTCTGTCCTAACCCAGGATTACATGGCGACTTTCCTGCGCAGGGCTTCAGACCAGAACAACTCTGAAAAATTATACAAAGGCAGCTGGACTTCAGAAATAATGAATGAAAAATAAAAGTCTTTTCCAATATCATCAGGTAGAAGAAAATGCACACAAGCTATTGAGGATATATAACCATCGGGGGAAAAGGCAACAAAACTGGGTTTTATAAACTCCTTTGCAGATGGAACTTGATTATTATTCTTGTTTTAAATTTCCTGACCATTAAAAAAACATTTTCTGCTTTCAAACTACACGTCAAGCACACAACTGAGCTGACAAGACACCTCGTGCAATAGCATTTCTTTGTTTTTAATCACTAATTGTCTTTTTTATCCTTGATGGATAAATTTTATAAATCCTAAATTTAAGATGCTAATCAGCCATGCCCTGCTCACTTCACAATGCCAAACTGTTCAGCAGCAAACTCTAGGGCAAGCCAGTCCAGCTTCTTGACAAAAAGAGATGAGGTTATACTACTGGTACTTATTTAGGGGCCAGATGGCAAAAACACTTTGTAGTGTTCTGGTAAGGTGAAAGAGAACACCAAGGCAGGACAGAATTGACCTGTGAGCAACCCATGGAGAGCTCTAACAGTTTAAGAACAGAGGTAAAAGTCTGGAAAACAGAAGTCTTATGGTTTCCATTCTCAGAAGTCTTATGGTTTCCATTCTCAGATCAGTAAATGATATGCCGTGTGGAAAAAAATATTGAGGATGATTTTGTTGGTTATTTCTTCCCCCAGATCCCCTACCTCCAAATACAGCTGCCTACACATACACAGCTACATGAGCAGGGGCTGAGTTTCCAAGATTTCATCAAAATTTCAAAGAATCCAGAACCTCACATTTCTGCAAAACACACTGCATTTGTAAGGAGCCTGGCCATATCCCCGTCTCCATGTTTGCTAATGATGTACCTCACAGGGACCTTGTGAGAATTCATTAGCTGGGACAGGAGTTCACACAAAAAGGTATTCGGCATGGCTCACAGCCCATCTATTTCTACTCCTATAATCATGGGTAACAGAGCTGGACCTTACATTCGCTTCTTTACTTGATACAAATGTATGCAAAGCAGAGCATAAGCTAAGAATACGATGCAAGGGACCCTGAAAGACATGCTGCAGATGCATCTTCTCTTACCTCCTGCCATATTCTGTCTCCAAAGAAATTTAGGGACTGCCTTGGAAGCAGACACTTCAACTCCCCCCTATTTGTGTGTTTATTAAACACACATTTCTCTTTTTCCAGGGGGACAATAGCAATGCTTGACTTTTTACACCAGAGAGTCCCATCTCCAGCCTCCACGTTACACCCAGTCATTTATGAAAGGCGTCTTTTTTTCCTTCCAGTTGGCAGGCAGTTTAAGTTCTGCACTGATTGGTGACAATTTAAGACAATTTTCCTCTGATTTTTCTCTTTCCACTCTCTGCACTGCCCAGCTCTGCTAGGTTTCATCCACCCCACTTAAGTTTGGGAGCGCTGCCTGACCCGTTACCAGATGCAGCTCAAAACCAGCCCATAAAATAATATTGTTCTGGATCTCCATCAGCTTTTTGCCCATGTTGCTTGCCCAGACAGATGTGCTTCAGGTGAAATGCTAGTGCAATTCTTGCTAAAAAGATATCCCCCTGCTTTTTTCCAATTTAGCAAAAAGACATAGAAAATATTGATGGATTTGGTCTTCCTGGAATTTTCTCACACCCTTTCTAGGAATAAGAAAGGACATCTTTTTGCAATCCCATTATTACACATGTGCGTGTGTTATAAGAAAATGCTCTGAAGGGACATCAAGCAAATAATACCAATTTTCAAAATTCTATAGCAATGTATTTATACAAATTACAGAATTCTGTATGTATTTACACACCATTACAGAATATCAAGTAAATAACACCAATTGTTCTTTTGTTTTTCCCTCAGATTTTTCTTCAAGTGAATTTTAGTGCTCAGGAAAGGTGCCAGGTGGACAGCACTAGAAAATGAAGACTTCTGTTTGTCCACAGCACAGGATGAGCGGCACTGCAAGCCTCCCTGCTTTGCCATGTCAGCTCTCTCCAGCCCTGTTTTAGCAGGATCACGAAAGGAGCGGGAGGGCATCCATACCCCTTCACACCTTGGCAAAGGAGCTAAGCAGCACCCAGGTGATGATGGTTTTGCCCATCCCCCACCAGAAAACAAACAGAAATAACTCATTTTACACAAGTGACTGAACAGAATCTGTTGTTCGCTACCTGAAACAGGCTGAATTTGACCCAGTGAACCTGCAGGGAGTGGCAAACCGCCAGCTCCTGGACCATCCAGTCTCACAATAATGCCTATGTTAAATTACATGTTTCTATATTTACATAAAGTCAGTATTTACACACCATTATGGGTTATTCGAGTAAATTGGTTACAGTTTATTTATATGGACTGCCATAAACTCATAACATTTTTCTTGGGTTTAATCCTTTCTTTAGAAAAATACAAAAAAATAAATTAAATAAAACATGTTAACTAGTAGTAATGATTTGCCTATGACTAAAAATCCAAGTGGATTTAACATTAAGACTCAAACCGTGGCCTAGTATTGCGGCCTCAACTCATAGTATTTTTAACCTTTGTGATTAATTTCCTGGCGTATGTCAGATTTACTAAAAAAGCAGAGAGTTGTAACCTTCCTTCCTCGCGGTAGGATTGATCTGGCTGACACTGAGCAATGAACCCTAGTCCTCCCCAGAAGCTCACTTCCTCATCCTACGGTCCAGCACGGCTTTGCACCGCCTGGATTCAGTGATTCAGCACCCGGCTAACCCGCAGCAGCCAAACTGCCTGCAGGTCTCAGCAGCCCTGAAGGGTTGAAAATAAACGCATGGGCTGCAGTCGAAGGCTGTAAATTGCCAGGCAATAACAGTCCCTAGACAAGTATGTCTAACTGTATCCTACAAATCAACTAACATAATTTACATATCTTTATCATTCAAGAACAATTATAATAAAATGCCACATTTTATTTAAGATTACTGATCTTGCCGGTTGAGACATGGCCCCTCCTACCTGCTTGAGTACAGAAAGGTCACGTTCGTTCAGGACACCAAGTCAGAGGTTACTCCAGAACAGAATTACATTTCAAATAATATATATCACATGGACAAGAGTGCCTTAGAGCAAAAACTACTTAATTACGAATAGGCTACAAACTTATGTATAGCTCCTCCAAAGTACGTCTCCGCTCAGCCTCCGTGCCTCTACAGACAGCCAGGGGTGTCAGGACCAGCCACGCTCCCGACAGATCCAATGGCAAAGGTTACACTCAACTTAATGGCACCGGATTCAAATCCTAAGGGATACAACAACTACAAAATGCATTTGTCATATGGACCTTATGTGATTTTTCTCTCTTTTTTTTTCCTTCAGGGTACTGGGGAGAAAATGCCTCTTCCTAAGGGTTAATTCCCAAGTGGTAACTGCTAATCAACGTGTTTGTGTGCTTAACATAAAATGCTACAATTCCTTAAATATTACATACTGTCAGCTCACTCACAGTTCATGAATATTTGAACATATTTTAAGAAAAAAAAAACCAAGTCTAATACTGTCCCCCTCATTGTCATTATTGACAGAGATTTATTAGTTTCATTTTGCAAGTTTTACTTTAGGAAGGGTGCTAATATCATGTATTATGACAGTTCACACTGAAAGCAATTTTCCATAAAAGATGTTACAATGACCCCTATGGAACTTGTATAATTTCATAGTAGATAGTCAAGTGCACAAATAAACATGTTTACAAGAGTGATCCTGTTAGCCTGGTTCTTGCCCTCTGAAACCATTATGTGCTATTTGTGGAATCTTAAAATTAGTACAATTGTTGATATCACTTACGTTGTTTCTGGCATTCTGCTTTAAGAAAAAAAAAAAAAGCATATTTATCATTTAGCTTTGGTATAATCTGCAATAGGTTTTAACAACTAGAATATATTCCAACCCCTATATTTTCCACAGCTGTGAAGTTTACAACGATGTAAGAAGTCACTTTATCAGAGAGGAAATATTACAAACACAGAAAAAAAGTTGAAGACCCAGTTTTCTCTTTAATCCTCTGGGGGTAAGCTATGAAACAAGCAGTCGGAAGAGTGAGGACTCAGTGTCATGAGTGGTGTGCATACTTGTACAATAATACGGGCACAAAAGAGATTGTCGCCTTTAGTACATGAGGGTCACTAGAATTTATTATTATTATTACTTTTTTATTGTGTTTTTTTTTATCCATGCACCTTTATATTTACTTGCATGAATTTACCACAGGTTCATAGTGGCCTTTGCCATTTTAATGCTTACAGAGCCTAAAGCTTCCAAAATGCCTATCTGGCCTGTACATATTTCATTAAAAATAAACTCTATATAATAAATGAATATATAAAAAATTTAACTTTTTATTTTTATTTTTTTTACTAAGAGGTCTTTGCTTTAAACTCAGTGGGGTGAGACCCAGAGAGCGATTAACTGAAAAGTCTCTTGTTTAAGTAAGACTGCACCCTCCATGCCTTTGTAAAATGCAGCGTACACTTGAGCAGGCCACCAGCCAAAAATCCTGATGAATCAAAGTATGGCAGCTATGCTGATATATGACGAAGTACAACTGATCAAAAATTTAAAAGCGTGTCTATTCCCCAGCATGCATCAGGCCTTCCTCCTCCTCCTCCCCTTGGCTCCTCTCTCTCACGCTCTCACTCCCATTCATCCTCTCCCTTTCTCTCTCTCACACTCACTCTCTCACGCTCCCTCTCGTACTAAATCAAGCGAGTGGGCATAGGCTCTCCTCCAGGAGGACAAACCTTTAAGTGCAGAACAAAATCAGCATGTTCCATCCAAGCCTCCATCATACATTATGCATGCGACAAAGTTTGGCAACAGTGGAGCTGATGTGATGACACAGCTAATCAATAAGAACCCACCGCATGAAACCTTTATAGTGGTTACTTTTTAAGGGCTCAAGTGAAGGAATTGTCTTTGTCAACTTTGGCTTAAAATATCCTTATATAGTTCTGGTACTTTCTCAGGGTCCACTGGTCTAGGTAAAAAATGTGTAAATTTTTGATGCCGTTTAGTCCTAGTCCCTTCTCTTGGAGTCCCATCTTTATTTAACGCAACGTAGTATCGTCTTCCAGTGTCCACGTGTTTATATAGATTTGATGAATATGTGTTATACCAGTTTTCTTCAAACTGCTCTCTGAATACACACTCCTGGGTTAATTTTTCCTATGGAAAGAAAAGAAAAAGCAGTAAGGAGATAGATAGCCACAAAAATAAGCTATTTTTAAAAGAATTACTATTTTCATGGCTTGAAAGCTGTACCTCCTTGCTCAATTCGCAAAATGAACCATTTCAATATTCCTAGTTTTAGCTAAGTAAAGCTGCATTGCTGGCTATTTCATTAAGCAGTCACAAGGGTGGATAACTCTATGTGAAGCAAAAATGATTCTCCAAAAGCCTCATTGCCCAAATCAAAACAGCAACAACAAAACTGAAAACAGATATTTTAATTTCTGATCATTCCCAAGCAGCTCACAAGACATTACTGGACTTCTATAACTAATTGCTTCAATCGTGAGTGCAGGCATTCGGACAAACAGATATAAATAAAGAAAACTAGAACTGGTTTGCAGGGCTGTAATACAATTTAGGGCCTTAAAATCTCTATGTCCTTTCATTGCATGGAGAACTTGGTACATTTCATTAATTTAAAAAGATAAAATTTACTACCCTTCGTTTGGTTTATTATTTGTAGCACGAAACCACAACCCAAGAGAGCTTCAAACAGGAGCACAAACCCCACGTGCCGAGATGAAGTTAGGCAAGGAAACTCCTCCAGGCTTGCTTTACTAGGGTTGTCCTCGTGTCCTGTCCTACTGATGGGACCCACTGAAGACATCAACCATTCATCAGATCCCCCTGCCACAGACTCCCACTCCTTCCAGTTCACCTACTTGTTCAGTCTGTGTGTGCCCCTCTACATCCTTTTGGTCTAAATAGATGGGGTTTGCTTAAAAAGCAGCCACCTGATAACCAGATTCATTTTAGGAAGGACTCACACAAGTGACTGAGTAAGAAGACTGGAAAAAAGGTGATGAGCTCTAGCATGGCAGAGCTGATGGAAAGCTGGGAAAAATAAGCCTGGAAATAGTCTTTTCAGCTGGCACAAAAAATATAACAATGATAATTTAATACATTTTTTCGTAACAAGAGTTCTCACTTGAATAACACTCACATCTACCAAATTTAGCTTCCAGCTGAGGATCAATTTCTAATTATTACAAAGCTCCACACAACACAGACTTCTGTGCATGTGTTTTATAGACATTAAGTCTTAAAACAGTCCTTTTAGATAGATACACAGAGAGGGAAAACGGAGACCAAGGCCCAGATGCAGCAAAGCATTTATGGCACCTAAGCCGTAAATGTGTGCCTGAACACAACTAAGGAGCCACAGCTCAAGTTCCAGTGCCCCCCAAGAAGCCACCATCCATGGCTTAATCCAGGAGCCTCCCAAAACCCACCATCACCGAAGCTTGCAGCTTGCCCTGGGGCTGCAGGCACCTTTGGGGCCACTTCTGCTGCTCGGGACTCAGCTCACAACCCTTTCCCAAAGCAACATGCTTCAGCCCAGATGTTTTGCTGCTGCTTTGCATGGCAAGCACGCTGCTCCCAGGGTAGAGCTCTGCAGCCAGCCGGGGTTGGGGACCAGGGTCCCAGCCCGGTCCAAGGAGCCCTATGCACCTTACAGGAGTCACCCAGGAACCATCCCACATGGGGAGAGCAACCTCTGCACACACGGGGAGAGCAAGCCGGCACCCCTCTGCACCCCTATGATCTGGGTACTGGGCTGCAAAGCCAGGGTCCTCCTCAGTGCCTAAAGGTTTGGGATTTGGAGGTTTCTTCTAAATTCAACCTGTGGCAACTCCAATAGGCAAGAAAGGCAGCAAGCAAGCAACTTCTGACTTTCTGTCTGATGGGCATTGGGAACCTCTTCACCCCTCAGAAAGGAGAAATCCACTACAGGACCGGGTGTGGGACGTTGAACTCTTGAGTATTCACTACAGCAGTGGCCACGTCCCTGTGTGGACCTGGGTGGCTGCAGCTTGCACGGTCACAGGAGCAGCCTGTGGCGGAGGAGAAGATGGCAGTCCCATCCCTCGCACTCTCTCCTGCAGTTCGACCAGGAGACTTCCCTCCCTGTGGGTCCAGCTGAGCAGCATGTGTGGAAACGTGAGCATGTGTGCAGGCCCGCTGTATATAACAATTTATTTTAGAGGTGTTTCTGACTATAACATTTTTAATGTGCAAAGTAGCTCAAACACAGCAATTTTTCCATGTCATAGGGAAAAGAAGCACAAATCTGCTTACATTAAATCCTCATCTATGGGCCAGATCCTGCAACCTCCTATTGATAATTGCCTCTATGTCCTTTGACAGCTAGAAACTGCAGCAGTAATGAATATTACTGGACCTCAGCATCAGCTGAAAGTTAGACACATTGCAGTAGCCCCCTTGTACAGCCTCAGCCTACAAACTATTATAAAAATTATTCAGCTGCTATAAAGATTATCTTTAAGTAGAGCTTTCATTAGTGTTTTATTCTGCATGAGGTTTAAAATCACTTTTTTTGCTTTAAGGCAGAAGCAGATGCTAAGGGGTATTATATGCTGGGCCTACAGGTCCATGGGGAAAGAGAAACTAATTCAAATTGTTTTCCTGCTCTCAGAAGGCAGGAACACATGACAAGCACTGCAGAAGCACTCCCTGCTAAAAATAGCAACATTTTAGGAAGATATTTCAGTCCTGTCTTGAATTCATTAATTATTCACTTCATCTGCATTTTTTTTAGCATCATCATAAATTTCTATCTTTGCAAGAACAGTACTTCCCCATGCCCCAAAGGAGAAATTTTAAAATAGCCTCTCTTTATCTGGCAGGTCTGATGGATCATGACAGTGCTGTGGTACACTTAACTAGAAGACCTTGAATAAGGGCGTTTGCATTGTACTGCACTCTGGATGAGTTCAATGGATTTGAAGCTTACAAATTTAATCTTTATTTTACAAGCTTATCCTGTTTTTACTTTTCATCCTCTTACAACACAGCTACATCTCTTTTGTCCTTCATCAAAATTCTCAGAAATTCATGTGTAGACAGTAGGCAAATACTTCAACATGAACTTGACAGAGCAATCGGGATGCAGCTTCAGATTTGTAGGGGCACTAATAACCACACTTTCAGAGAAGTGAAATAATTTCTTTATAAATTTATCAAACCATTTCCTTCTAGGTCACCTAGAAATTCTGGTTGTAGTTGGAGACCACTGGAGTAAATCGGTGTCGGCGACTTTGGATCAGGCCCTGTGAATAATGTGGGGATCAAAACCCCAGCATATCCTTCTTCCCATGCCCCGGGAATGCCCATTATCCTTACGATAACGGCTCACCTACTACCACAACAGACAGAAACCAATACCCACTAGGATGGTCATCTATGTACCACCACAACACTACTTAACACTAGTTTACACTCACATTTTGAGCACACATGCCTTTATTTAAGCCAGAAATTAGCATAATACAGGGGTGAGGCTGGTCCATCCTGCCGACAAGCACCTTCTTGCCTCACCAGTTTAGGATGGGAAAGTCTTGCTGAAAGCCAACTCTCCCAGTATGGGAAGGAGATGGTGTTTCCTGATCACAAGTGACTTACATTTCCCCTTCTGGCTGTGACTTTTAGAAAGCCCTTGTATGCAGAGTTGAAAAGCTAGATTTAGCCCTAGAATACAGCAATTTTTCCATACTGTTATTCAAGCAACTGATTTCTCTATCATTTTTCCAGTGCCAATATTTCCTTGCACCATACTTAATGTCACTAGACATCTTTGTGGAAGGCTGACACAAATACCAAACATACCCAGCTGGAGCAGCTGTGGAAAGTAACCTGCATTCCTGTGAAAAGGGAGGCTGCCTGCCTTGATCAAATCATTTAATTCAGGGGCCAAATAAGGAGGTGACCTCAAAATTATATAAATCAGATGTTGCACCACATCCCACATGTTTTCTATGAGGACTGTTCATAGAGTATTCCACTACAAAGTGATTTATTCTCATTTTACTGCATTTCCACGCTTTACCTGTTTTTTTTAACCTGTTATTTAACTCGGAATGTTCAAATTGGACCTCGCAAGGTCCTGCACCCAGGTCAGGGCAACCCCCAGTATCAATACAGGCTGGGGGATGAAGGGATTGAGAGCAGCCCTGCCAAGAAGGACTTGGGAATACTGGTGGATGAAAAGCTGGACATGAGCCAGCAATGTGCGCTCACAGCCAAGAAGGCCAGTCGTATCCTGGGCTGCATCAAAAGAAGCGTGGCCAGCAGGTCGAGGGAGGGGATTCTGCCCCTCTACTCTGCTCTGCTGAGACCCCACCTGGAGGACTGCGTCCAGCTCTGGAGCCCTCAGCATAA